TTGAAGTCTGCATGTTTAGATAAACCCAAAGGGGATCTTGTCTAAACATCCCAGATCTATTACTATCTCGTAAATTAAATTATTTCTTATCTTAACAGTTGTCAAGCAGCTAGTTGTTTTGTTATGTTGCCTGTTAGTCCTAGCTCATCTTATTATACCAAAACCAAAGAGAAAAAGACACATTCTTATCAGAAAGTTACATTATGTAGCGTGATCATCATAACTAAAGTAATGGTTAGTCCACTAGTTACACAAAATCTGAAGTCCTTCGACATTCAGTGAATGCAAGAATAGAAGAAGAGAACCAAAGAGCTTCAACCTACACATGTCTATTCAGAAATAATTCCTGTTGAGTTCAGTGAAGCTTTGATAGTATGTGCACATCATTTAAACACAGGAAAAATTCTGTTGCTTAGCATACTAAATCAACTAGAGTAGACCCTATGAATCAGTGCTGGGTAAACTCCTCTGTAAGTTCCATTGATTCAAATGGAACTACTCTGTGACTTAGCACAGTAAGTCAGTTAGAGTAGACCCATTTGAATCAATGGAACCAACAGAGGAGCTGACTCATCAAATTCCCACTGATTTAATGGGTCTACTCTAGTGCAATTTATTATGCTAAGTAACAGGATCTGGGCCATTGCTTCTTAAGCCACAATGTCAACTAGTAACATGTTGATATACATCATGACGTCTGTTCTGGTTTTGCTTTTTCCTCTTGAGTGAGCACCGGGAAGCAGAAGTAACTAAGTAAGAGGCTCCGATGCATCGCTTGATTTCAAACAAGAGCACAAATTGGAGGCAGACTTCATGTTGGAAAGGAGATCTTTGTGTGACACCTCAGCATGATGGTTAGATGACAGCTTTCAAGAGGAAGCTCACATATTAAGTGATTTTTTAAAGTGGTTTATAACGTTATCACCTACTTGTCTTCCTGGACCATTCTCTTGACTTCACCATGTTTGTAACCACACCAGTAAATGTCTAGAAGGAGCTGAGTATCACAGTCCTTTTAAAGCTGCCTAATTGGTGCTTATTATGCTTGATTGGTGCTCGGTGACATCCACAGGTGTTTTCAATACCTGTTCGAAAACACCTGAATGAACCTCTCTTCTTCAGAGTGGTAGTCTTTAAGGGGTTGAATAATTGTGGCAATGAAGAAACCACAAAAGAAACATTTACTACTGTATTACATAAACAATTGATGTTATTTTAGTTGCATTTGGTTCTTTAAAACGTCCTTGTAGGATTTCATTCTGAATACAATTCCAAATGTACACTATAGTCCCTAAACCCCTTTACAGCATTGGGGGTTGAATAATTTTGAACACAACTGTACTTCCAGGTATTTTGGATCACTACATTAGATTTCACAGATTAGTACTTTTACTAGGGGAATTTAGCAGTTAAAAGACCAAGGTTTCTTTTGAAACGGGGAAATACGATTTCTCAATCCAGTTTGAAAGTAGAGCTGGCTGGTTAAAATTCAGGGAATGGGTCTAAGAATAAGACACTGGTCGGACAGCAGTAGCACTGTGCTCATTTGCCAGCATGTGACACAAAGGCAACTAGAGCCCCAAACAGATTACCTTATAACAGTATGAATTGCATTTTGTAAGTTGCTATCAGCTCTCTGAAACCAGTTAAAATTATCTATTTCATGTCATTGAATCTTAGACAACCTTTGCCAGTGAGACTACAGCATGCAAAATCTGTCTCTCCTTATAATCTGCACTTGCAATGTATGAAGCAATGTTAAGTGAAAAACAAGAGAACAGGAGTGTTCCAATGTAATAATTTTCGGAAAATATAGCAGAGGTCTCTTTTTGCTAACCATTTTCTTAAAATATGTCCTCTGGGATTTTAACTTGTATGTTCATTGTATGTTAATCCACTTAGTTTTACATGCACACACAAACACACACACAAAGCAATTGGCATCTTTCTTTCCCTCTTTAAAAGGGGAGGAAACAAGTTTTAACTTAAATCCCAGTTTGGCTGTGTGGTTTACTGTAGCCTGAGGCATAAATTATTTAGCACTCACACATGGCCTGTCATGTCTTGTTACTTAAGTGCAATACAGCTTTCATCCCTGTACCCAAGGGGGCCATCCAATGGACAGCTGGTGATGTCATCCCCATTTGGTAATCCCCTTATGATTGAGGAGGGGGAAGCATTTAAAGCTTTTCAAGCAGATCCCACAGTTTTCTTTCTCCTAATTTAACCCTATGCAATAGATTTACTTGGATGGGTCATTGTTGGTCCACTGCAGGTAGCCCCCTGCTAATTAGGTTGGTTTTTTAAAAATTAAAAAAATGCCTAGAAGAGCAACTGTTTCTGCTTAACAGAAGGCAAAGCAGATGAACTCTGCTGCCTCAACATATTATTACTGTTCATGATTGAGCTGGCTTAGTTAGGAATCTTTGCCAGCCCTTTGACAAAGGCTGGATATTTCACTTACCACTTCAAATAGATGTTAAAATGGAAAATTTGAAGTAATTAACAAAATTGTGTGTATATCACGCCCTGAAAGCCTGACACTAATGATGTTGTAGTTTGGGTTGGGTTTTGAGTGTGCTCTTGTACAACTGCATTGCAAGTTATACACAAAGCAGAGAACTCTCAACATAGGAGAAGAAGGAGAAAAAGAAGACAGTAGGGAGCTGTCGTGCTGGCATTGTGCAAGTCTTTATTAAAAGATGCATTGTGCCCAAGAAAACAATTTAGAAGAGGTAGCTGTGTTAGTCTGTGCAAGCGTATCAGACAAAATCCAAAGAAACAAGACAGGACAAAGACAAAAATATATGAAAAATATGTGAAAATACGTGAAACTGATATTTCATCTACATTTCATTCCATTTCATTCTGTTTCTTTATGTCTGATGAAGTGGAGGTACCCATGAAAGCTTACATTAAAATATAATAGTCTTTAAGGTGTCACACGTTTTTCTCTTTTTTAAGTTTAGTTTTGTTTCTTTGGATTTCACAAAAGAATGGTGTTGCTCTAGAAACAAATCCTGCTCCCTTTAAATATGCAACATCTGATCATTCTGAACAAGTATTTTGTCAGATCACTAAGGAATAACTTCAAACCATTGCTTTGGGGGGGGGAATCTGAATTATCCTGTATAGTCATTTGTCCAGTTAAGAAAAACATGTTCTGTAAAGGTGAGTTTCAAGACTTTAAAAAAGAAAAGAGTATACACCAAGAGAATCTACCAGACTCAGTACACTCCTGGTGCCGTATTCCCTTAGCAGTAAGACAGCACAGTCAGTGTGGTGGAGTATTGCAATGAAGGGCAACAAGGAAAGTAAGTACCTGAGCAGTGAAGGAAAACAGGGCACAATTGAGCCCTGTGGAACTCTATGCGTGGGTGCTACACCTGCACATGAATGAATCATGAGCCAGATGTTCAGTTTTCATTTAATTTATGATTCACTAAGAGGGATGAACAAGGTTCGTCTGAGACAGTAGGCACTTAAAGGGCTGGAAAAGCATTCTAGCAGTGAAAAAAAGAGAAGGGAATCTGCAGCCAATTGCAAAAAACAACCCAAACGTTTGCTTTAGTTGAGGCAGCACTACACTGTTACAGCAGTAAAAGCAATATCCTCTAATCCCAGGCAAGGGGGGCAGCGGCAGCAAATTGTTCATTCAAAGCTGTCTAAGTGGTTAAAGCAGCAATTACAGTATATGAACACTGACCCCAAATAACTCCCCATTAACTCAATAGGACTTACTTCCAAGGCACAGGCTTCCACTAGCTGAAAGAAAACTTCTTGCTTCGCATAGTAAGGTGCAACTAGGGTAGGCCCATCTGAATCAATTGAATTTACAGAGGAGCTGACTCACAAAATCCCCACTGATTCAATGAAGCTGCTTTAGTGTGACACACTATGCTATGCAACAGGATTTCAGCCACTGCTAAATTGTAACAAAAAGCAGCAGCACTACCATTTCCAAAGAGATTGCCGTGTGAATCTGTTGCAGCAAAAACGAAGTCCTGTGGCACTCAAAGGAATGTATTTAAGATGCTGAAGGATATTTTGCAGCTTTAAAGATATCATACCGAAAGCTTCTAAAATATAACCACTATTGTACTTCTTGGCTTAACTCCTGCCTGGCTTTTTACATACTCTTGATACTCTCAACATGTCTGAGTGATGTTGCGTTCAAGGATATTGGCAGGTCTCGGTCCGAGTCCCAAGTCTGAGTCTTTGGTACCAAGTCCGAAGCCCCAAGTCTGAGTCCCTATTAAAAACAAGCGGGGAGGGGGGGGAGGGAGGACGGGTGTGTTCGAAGTCGCGAGTTGTCCGTGTCATTGCAAAACCCTCCAACTCGAGTCAGCGACTTAAATATGACTTGACAGCGAGTCCAGCAACTAACCCTGGTTGCTTCTGGCAACTCCCCGTCAACGGCTGAATGAACTATGAGGCTCAAGACTTAACGTGATGCGAAGCAGTAAAATGTTCTTATCTGGCGTTCTTCCTTTTTATGCAGTCCTTTCACCTAAAAGATCCCTGTCAGGAGGGGGTATCGTTCTGCAATTGGTGTTAGCCCGATTTTCAGTTTCCATTCCAGTTGTTTTCGCCTAGGACATGTGTAGGGAAGGGGGGCTGGATAGGACGAGAGGGGATTGTGTTGACTGAACTCTGAGGAAGTTCAGAGAGCTAAACGGGCCGCACTTCTAAGCAGAACTCTGCAAGGCTGCATCATAAGACATACAAGTTGAGGTTGTCTTAAAAGGGGGGGAATCAAGCCCCAATAATACGGCTGCTCGTAAAGTATGCATTGCAAGAGTTGCGTGACAACTGAGACGCGCTTGCGGCAAATCAAGCCAACGCAGCCGCGCATTTTAAAACCTGAACGCAAGTAACCCCTGAAGGAGCAACGAAGAGAAAACCGTGGAGTTTGGGAATTGCGAAAACCTCGCGAGAAAACGTACACTCCACGCGATATTTCTGGCCCCCAAACAGGAGGGGGGAAGGCAGGGAGGAGGAAGGCTGCGCGAGCGAGGGAGAGCTTGCTGGCGTGACGTCAAGAGAAGAGCGTTACCCTTTTGCGTGCTTTACGTGCCCGGAAGCGGCGCGACCAGGCACGCGGAAAGAGTCTCCGAGGCGTAGCCTTTCCCGGCTCTTTTCACTGAGGGAAAGGGAGGGGTGAGGAAAGGCTTGCCAGGTGGTACGGGAGCCTGTAAGGGACAAAAAAGGGCTTGGGAATCTTCCTCTCTCTGCCCAGCTTTATTGCTGGACGTGGCAAAATGCCTGGCGTTGCCTCCCGTAAGAACCAGGAGCGGAGCCGAGAAAACACCATGGAGCAGCCGCCAGCTGATGTGGGTTCCTGAGGGTGTGGGAAAGGGGCCGGGTGGGACGAGGGCCGCGGTATTGGGCGGGGGAAGCCGTGAGTGCGGTGGGGGGGGAATGACTTGCACACTCCCAAGGCCCCACGGTGTGCTTTGGTAGTGACACCCCCGGGTTCCTTCTCCCCTCCCCCGCTCGGGCGCCTCGTGCAGGGTTTCCCCATCAACGAGCAGAGTTCCTCAGGTGGCATATTGTTCCTGTGTTTCCCCCTTCCTCCTCCGTCCCAGCCCACCCACTCGCGAATATTGCTGAAAATTAACATTCAGGTCTGGTTAGGCACTTGCTTTTAGGGTATCACTCATTCTCTGCCTCTTCTCTGTCATATTGCTTTGGAAGAGTCTTACAAGTGGGTTGTGAGTAACGTTTTGCTACAAGTCGGAGATAAAATAAATAAAATCGTTTTCTGTGTACATACATACACAGAGTAATTTTGGGAGGGGGTAGTTTTTAAGACAACCACCAACGACAAGTTTTTGGGGAGACATGCATCGGAAACCACCGTGGCATATCACTTGCAACTGGAGAGTTTATGAGAATCTGAGTATAAGGTTAGGGAATCTGGATCAGTTATCTGTGCAACCAGAGCACATGACCACATTCTTCTAAGTTGTGTGTTTAAGTTGTATTCCTGCATTAAGGAGTGTGTGGACTCGATGGCCTTATAGTCCCCTTCCAACTTCATTATTCTATGCAGAAGCTGAGATGAGAGTATTAGCACTTCCATTATTGTACAGTATAGACATGAAGTAGTCATGTCAATACAGTGGATTGGCTTTTGATTTAGCACTCTGCAATTTGTTTGCAGCATTGCAGAAATAATAAGGATTAACTCAGACTTTTATTCTACCATTTCCATGACTTTTTCTGACCAATGTTGCTTTTCCTTGAAGCATTCTTTCTGCTTATCTTCAATTCAGACCATTACTGGATGTCTTTTCTCTTTAAAATGATAACCCCACAGTGACAGAGCCTTTCTTGTACATGGTGCTGGAGTGTTTGGTGCAAATTATGTAGTCCTGCTGAAGACTGGCATTTTAGGGCAAGACAAATATCTAGATTGTGTCTCATATACCTGTGCATTATCAAAAGGAAGCTCTAGAAAGCATATATTCCTATTGAAACAGCTGTTTCACATGTTCATGTTCAAAGTTCTTTCCAAAAAGCTATATGGTGTAATTTGGAGCATGCCCTCTTTTTTCACTCATAAACACCCAGCAATTGTAGTTAATTCCATTATAGTTACCCATTGTGTCGTAGTGTGTAAAATGTTAAGGACAACTTGGTTTTGATCGCTGCTCAGCCAAGGAAATTCACTTGGGATACTGAGTGTTGAAACCATTCCTTCAACATCTCACTTACCTATAAGTCAATTCCAACTTGATGGCACATAAGACATACACCATCATAGGTATGGAGAGTGTTTTACCAATAGTTTTACTTTTTGCAGCAGACAATTGCCTCTTAATCTAAATTAAATTGTTACTTTGTTCAAAATGTTCTGCTCAAAGTTATTTCTAATAATACATTGCTCCTGAGAGTCAGGTTATGCACTTTCTTCATGCAAATGGATTTTTACAAGGACATCAGCAAAGTTCAGATGGGTCTGTGTCTCCTGAGTGAGTTACCATTCATCAGATTGAAGAATAAGATGCTATTACAGTATTTGTGACTTGTTCAGTGTTCATATCTGTATTAGGAAAATTAGAGTTATCTATTATGATAGCAGTTTCTTTACATTCATGAGCAACTACTCTGTTTCACCTCTTAAAATCATCTTGAAGCTCATATTTAAATGTTGGATGATCTGTCAAGTATATTGTTGTCTGTTCTGGCTGGCAGTGACATTCTTCAGGCAGTTCTTTCTCAGATATGATTTCTTGTGATGTTATGAGTAAAACCTGTTATCTTCTCTATGATTTGTTGAGACTCTTTTTTGAAAATAAATGGTTCCCTGTAGTCTTCCACATGGGCAGACATGTGATTTGAACTTACAGCGCAGTGGACACAAGCTGAGGATAGTAACCACAATTGAAGTCTGTGTCCCTGTAGCTACAGATTTCTGTAAGTTGTTACCAAAATGGCAAAGGGTAGAATTTGAATTCAGTACATCAGCAGGTACTAGCCTGGAACAGGTAGGAGAACAGACCACTATGTCATTCTGGCTATTTCTCCCCCATCATTTCTGGTGCTGACATACTGTCCTGCTTCTTTCTTCTTTTCTATTTGTAATTTACAGTAAGTACTACTGCACCTCCATTCTACACCGATATTTTCCTAACATTGTTGTAGGTTTTTGTTATTAAAAGGGTTGATTAGCTTTACTGTTTTGTATATACAGTACAAGTTTGCTGTTACGTGCTGTTAAGTTGCTTCCGATATATGGTGGTCCTGATTTTTGGCATAGAAGATATCTATCTGTTCAAGGAGCGGTTTGTCGTTGCCACTCTTCACTGATTGTTCACCTCAGTAATGTAGAATCTTGAATTATTGCTCAGCACACAAATCAGATCCCTCTGAGACCACTTCTGCATTTTTGCTTTGCTATCATAATATGGAAATATATTTTTGCTTCAGTTTGAAAACTCTGCCTTATATTTAACTTACTCTCTATTAATCTCCATTGGCTCTGTTAATATCCCTTTCCTTTCTGCATCCCATTGTGCTTGCTGTACTGTACTTTGTATCACTACAGATCTAACCTCACCAGTAACATCTCTTCTCCCTTTTCCTACTCTGTTATGTCCTTTTAACTACTCTACAGAGAACTTATTCTCTTCACTGGGAGTACAGTTGGCTCTCATTTTTGCATGCATCATACCACATGTTTTTGTAAATCTCTGCTTCACGTTATCTGTGTTCAAAATGTTTCTTAAGTTTATCATTCTACCATTGAACTCCTTTTCATCCTTGTTGAGGTTCTGCATCAGCAGCACATAGCACTTTATTTCCTCAAGAAATTCACATACTGAAAGAGCCTCTCATAATTGCATCAGCAGTTTTGCTGGTTGGCTGTAAATGTGCTTCTGAATCTAGAGAGAGGCAGATCAGTACAGATGGCTAAAAATTGATCAGAGAAGTGAGTTGGGAAGAGGCCACAATTATCTTTAATGCATTGTATTGTGGAGACCTAGGTTCACAAAAAGATTTGTGCCATTAATTTTCAGTCTTTCACACTGATAATGTTAAATTCACTAAATTACAAATGACATGAAAGATGCAATGTGGAAGTTATAACCCTAATTCTGGGAATACTTTGCTTCTTGTATTTGTAAGTCAGGCATAAGTTTGAGTAAATAATGAACTTTTGTTCATGGCTTGAAGTCTGTATCTGACAGATCAATTGGGATATTCAGTGGTATTGTCCAGTTTGTCCCCAGAAAGGCCTCTGTTCTCATATGTTCACTGCTAATGGCAGTAATTGATTACATCAGCATTTATCTTACCATGATGATGCATGGGAACCAGAACGATTTCACATCTTTCAGTGCTTATCTCATTTATGATAAAAGAGGAGATGGAAGACTTGGCCTCTAGGCTAATGTTACCTCCCCCCCCCCATTTTTATCATTGATAAAACAAATATTGAACATTTGATAACCTGTGATGTTGAATCTAACAAGTCACAACTATTTTAAAATGTGAGATGCATACATGCCATTGTACTTGGTGAGCTGTAGATCTCTGTTTTGTAAACAAGCACATACATCAGCAGATGAAGAATAAATCTAAAACTAGTCATTATTTGGAGAGTCATGCTTTTGATACGGTGCAAGGTTTTTCTGTCTATTTGTTAATATTCAGTATTACATGTGAATATTATCAGTTAAGGGCTAGCAGTGTCCTAATTGCCAAATGTGACATGTGCATGACTGTAACATTTCATCTTCTTTAGCTATAATGTGATGGAAGGTATGTTAACGCAATAATTTATTTTTCTCCTTATTTTAGGACTATGCAAAGGAAAGATATGGAGTACTGCCACTGATACAATCCCAGGAGAAACCAGGTTAGTTTTTAAAATTTTGGAAAATGCACAGAGGTTTGTGAGGTTATCTATACACAACAGTGCACAAAATGTGCTGATTGTTGTATCATGTTGAATTCACTGATTATAGATTTCTAGGTCCTGTGGAGCTAGTGTGTTTGAGAAAATGAGAGAAGCTTGATGAGAGAAGCTTCACTGCAGACTAACCTTTTGCAAAGAATTGTGGAGCTGTTAGCCTAACTTTAGCATGTGTCAATGTAAATTTTAAAAATTTAATTATTCTGATAATTTTTTTAAAATGTAAAATATAAATTGTGGTTTAAATCAATTTGATTTTTAAAAGGTCATTGATTTTTATCCACCCTGCACAGGAAAAAGTCAGCAAATGCTTTTGTAGCGTAAAAAAATCAGAGAGGAAAAGAGAAGGACCATTGAACTTCAGGGCAGAGATTATAGAAAAGATTCAGACATTACAAAGAAGTAAAATAAATAGATGACTATGTTTGGTCAAATGTTCTATTCATTATTTTGGGTTAGAGTGCAATCCCAGATATTTCTATATCAGGAAGTTCAGGGTGACTTAGTAACAGATAAGTATAGTTACTAAGTAGTATAACTGCTGTAAAGCTCACCTCTCAGCTTCTGGGAATGATTTAGCAACTTCTTTGACTTTTAAAATGGTTTAAATATGTGGCTGTTTATGAGTTGGGCAAGTACGAAACCCTATTCTTGAATTCTGAAGATATGTTCCTGTGATTCCCATGTAAGTAGATATGCCCTTCATTGTTTATGACGTTCGTTCAACCTTGTAATTAGGTTTCTAAGAGTTATTAGCCTAGAGACATTTTTGTCAGGCTCTTGAGTAGAGGTGTTCTGTGTGCAAACTGAGTGATTAAAACTTGTGCTTATTGGGACATACATTGTGTTGTGTTTGCATATTCAGGATGAGAGTCTTGAAGGTAAAGCTAGTTGAGGGATTTGATTCAGGTTCTGAGAGAAACAGTGGAAAACATGGCAATAAATTGAACAAAATTTCATTGCGCCCTATAAAAAGGAAGTTTGAATGGCCAAAAGCTGAAGAATGATTGGTCAGGAAATATGGAGGTGGTGTTTGGAAAAGTTGCTGCAGTTGCTACAGTGATTGGAGAGATGGAAAGGTGTAGGTTTAAGTAAAAAGAAACAAACCCCAGTCATGGCTAATTAACTCTTGAAGGAGAACAGCGCAATTGATTCACCTGCTCCTGCAAAAATAGTTTTCTTCAGGATATTTCTCTTTAGCAGTTGCTTTTTATATGAACAGTGTAACAGTTAAAAAGAACATACAGCCAAATGTGTATGCCATCTGGTTTTAATGAGAGCCAGACCATTATGTCTGCAGCAGTTTTTCAGAGTTAATCTAATGCACGTTGTGGATAGTTCCTTGAACATCTACTAAAAGGGTGATGCCTTGTTTTGCCCTTTTTATTCAGGTCTGGAACATGTTTCAGCTTTCTAATAAACTTAAATTGATGACATAATTCATTTTAAATAGGATACTCAGTCTATTTCAGCTGTGTTTAGCAATGTTGAAACATGATATTGGATTAAAAATTGTTACTGTTTCATCATTCTTCTATTTTTGTTGTCAGTCTAGCAGCAGTGCAGTGGACTTTCTTCACTACAGTTCTCTGTGTTAGGTTCCCTGTTTTGAAAGTAATGCCATTCTGTGCATGTTTAGCAAAAAATAAGACCCAATATGAAATAGTTTAGGATTGGAGTCCAAGTGACTTCAGAAAGAGAGTGTATCTCTTTGGAGAAAAAGTAGGGACTATCACTAACAATTCCTTTCACTTGCCAACAACAGAATGATATATGAGATTTGTGCTAATTTTTCATACACAGCATCCCCAATGCCATCCTTTTTGAAGCTGAAATGAGTTTGCCAGACCTACACGTTACTTCCACAGAGAACCTCAGCCGAGTATTTAATACAGCAGTTCATGGCTGTGAAGATACTCGGAAGGTAAAAGAGTCACAAAACAGGCACCAGCCTGGAATTGAGGAACATGGATGGGGTCAAAATGTGAAGGGACATTCAAAGAAAAGTGAAACTTGTCAGGTTTTGGTTACAGTATCACTTCATAGAAATTGGCAATGCTAATTTAACTAAACGAGCCCTGAGGAGAAATAACGAAATCCATTGTTAGCAGAAGTGGTTTTCATCTAGTAGCATGATTAATAGTCCACAGGATGGTGTTCCTTACAACATAAGTTATTATAAACCAAATTTGATATGGCATTAAATATGTTAAGAGTGCTAATACTCACAGATATGGCAACAATTGCCCTTTAAGTGTGCAGCGGAAATATTAATTAGGTTGGCAGATCCTTACAGGGCTCAAATATTCTAAGCAACCATTTCCAAGTTTGAGCATTCCGAAACATTTGGATGGCTTTAATGAAAAAGGTAACTCCTGTTGCGGTTGTGACCTCTTTCAGGTGTTGGAAATAAAGTTACCCTGAACAGGAGAAAAAAAGTAGATTAGCTTCACATGTTTTCATTATGAAGGAGGACAGACTACCCTGTTGCCCTTCCTCAGCTATTCAAATTCACACTTTCTGAAGTGCCAGAATAGGGCTTCTGTCAAAGAAGCAGGTGAGACAGAAAATGAGGAAGCTTCCCTACATATTACAGCTTTGGCTCCATTGTCATCATATGCACATACAAAGCTGCTCTACTAAGAGCAAGTCTGTACAGTCATGCCTCGCTTTACGATTGCCCCGCATTACGATGATCTTTTTGCGATCGCAATTGCGATCGCAAAACAATGGTCTAAATGGTTTTTTTTCGCTTTGCGATGATCGGTTCCCTGCTTCGGGACCCGATTCTTCGCAAAACAATGATTTTAAAACAGCTGATTGGCGGTTTCAAAATGGCTGCCGGGTAAACAAAATGCCTCCCCGCTGTTTTCTGGGACGGATTCCTTGCAAGACAGGCAGCGAAAACAGCTGCCCTATGGAGGATCTTCGTTGGGCGGTGAGTTTTGACCCCATTGGGACGCATTGAAGGGATTTCAGTGCGTTTCAATGGGGTTTTTTCTGCTTTACGATGTTTTCGCTTAAGGGCGATTTTTCTGGAACGGATTATCGCCGTTAAGCGAGGCACCACTGTAATAAGTAAAAGCCAAGTATGGGAAGGGATCTGTGTTGAGGCCAACTTCACCTTTGGTCTACACCAGTGTTTGGTAAAATATCTCCGCTGACTTAAATAACAGACAACATAAAAAATTCATCTTTCCTGCAACTGATCAAAACACCACCCAAACGAAAGTATCATAATTGCATATCTGGATCTAATTACATGCATCTTAGCCATAGGATCACCCATCCTTCCCTCCAGAGTAATGAAGTGGGGGACTTGTGCAGTTGGCCCTGCTTACAGTTTTAGAGTAGTCACACAAATATCAAATTCAATTCTTCAAAATACCTCTGGTTTATGAATGTGAGATATTGTGCTTCTCTATCCAACCAGGCTGCAGAGACAGATCTTCTGTCTTCCGCATGCCCCCCTGCACAGCCCCTTTGCACATGCGCGTGACCGCAACCACCCTACCTGCATATGTGTGAGTGCAGGTGTGCCCCACCCCTCAACCAGTCCACAGTATCAAAAATGTTAGGGACCCCTGGTCTACAGGATGCCCTCTTCTGCTCACTACCATTCACACTTGTTGAAATATAGCCCTAACAATTGCTTTGTGTTTGGATGAGAAGTGATCAATTGATGAAAAAAGGAGTCAGCTTCTGGGATTTTCTCTTGCGTGGTGTTACTTTGTGAATGGTACTGGTACTGGGGGACTCCTGTTCAACACCTTGACCATTCGACCGTGGAGTATCTCATGGTTCCATGATTCCCCGTACTGTTTCACATATACATTAAAAACCTGAAGCATCCTGTCCACAACTTTGTAGTCTGGTACCACCAGCCATACCCGGAATTTAATATGGCTACCGTATTTTCCCACTGCTTCTTTGACAGGCTGCACTTGATGTTCTATAGTGTCTCTTCTAATTCTGCAGTTCTAACATGTTATTGTCATTATCATTGTCTATGCCTTGGACCGGTGTTTTTGCACCACTGCAAAGCCAAGTACTCGGCCCCACAATTTCTGTGTTATAATCTGTGGGCACAGGTGGGAACTATGTCTGGACAGTGGTTTGGGGATGACTCTGCATAAAAATCATGCTTTGGATGCATGTTCCCATGCACTTGGGGACCCACGATTTCTGTGTTGTAGCCTATGGGCACAAACGGTCCCTATGAGTAGACAGTGGTTTGGGGATGATCCTACAGAAAAAGCATGATGATCTGTGCATCATCTCCATGTTTTTGCACTATTGCAAAGCCACCTGCTGAAGGACTTATGATTTCTGTGGTGTAATATTTGGGTGCAAATAGGCTCTATGATCTGAAAGTGGTTTAGGGAAGGATAACATCTGAAAATCATATGAAATTGTGGATCCGTAAACATGTGAGTAAACGTAGTCAGGAGTAGACTGGTTAAACCATGCTTTGACTTCATTCAAACCCACAAAGGGGAAAAACAGTGATTTCAGCTTAAATGAATGAGCCGTTGTATATCATCTATTTTTCAAAACAGCTTTTAAAATATTTTCACAGCCAAGAGCTAAGAATGTGTGGCCAGGAAGGAGTTAAATTCTTTCTTTCAAGCTGAAGGCCATGGCAGGGTTAAAAATGATAGACTTAAACCTGCCCCGTGGGCTGACTAGAGAGACATTCTGATTGGCCAGAATGCTATGCTATGCAAATAGGTCCTTCAGAATTCTCAAATTGTATTAAAAAAGAGCAGTTTCAGAAGTTTTGGGGGTTAAAAAGCAGTAATTAAAGGGTCTGAATTAGAGCCATGAATGGCCAAAATTCTGTAAATGAAAAAAAGAGGTTAAGACAGAGGTTCCCTCCGATATGCAAATTGTGTCTTACCTACATTTTATAATCTCTTTTCAATTAGCTGTATATTTATGGTCACTTATGCCTGTATGGGGGTAAAACTGTGGTTTTTTTAAAAAAATCACGTCTCAAAAACCCTTTGTCCGCATATCCCCTAATTTGTCACAGAGCAAGAGCAACCTTTTTGCTGCTTCTGTGCAAAATTTGGTGCTAGTCTGAGGTCCAGTTCCATAATTACAGTTTTTTGTTTGGGGCACCCCACTCTTTTGATTTTGCTTGTAGAATGATTTTTGCTGTGCTTCTGCAAAATATATGGCTACGCAGTACCCACAGAATTGTGGGAACATATAGGTATAATGGCTCCCATGCAGATGTGTAGAACAGAGACTTGAAGACCGTTCCTTCTTGAATTGTAACTAGAGATGAGGGCTTTGTATTCGTATACAAATACTAAGGCCCCTCCCCCAACACAGGTGGCGGCCCTGATTATCTCCCACCCCAGACCTTTGTATTCGTATACAAATACAAAGCCCCCCCAGCACAGGTGGCAGCCCTAATTATCCCCCACCCCAGACTTCACCAGACTGCTTACCATGCATTGCACGTGGCTGGCATTGTCACAGCACCAATTGCAACAGTATCTCAGCTACCACAGCCTTGCCTCCCTGCTTGCCCTTGTGGCTGAGCAGGGAGACTCATCCTCCCGTCTTGTGCGAATGGCTGGGCGGGGCTGCAACAGCCGAGCTACTGCTGTGATTGGTGCGGTGACAACGATGCCAGCCTTGCACAATGCACGGTAAGTGGTCCGGTGGGGTCTGGAGGTGGGAGGTAGTCAGGGCTGCCACCTGTGCCAGGGAGCTTCATATTCTTATACAAATGGAAAGCCCCCATCTCTAACTGTAATAATTGTAACAATTTTGATTCTGAGCATGTAAGCTAAAATCAGCTGTGCATAACTCCTTAGTATCCATTTAACCATTGGTATATTCTATTTATTCTTCCATATCTTCTTTCTCTCTCTCTCTTTTTTTAGCATCTTAAGGATTTTAATGTTCTTGACAAGAGTTGGCACTTCGTCTTGGTTCATGGGTTGTCAAACTTGATGTCCCATGAACCATGAATTGCCCCCCCCCCCCCAGTGACCTGACAAACAACGAATCAGCTTGTCATTCATCAGGTCATTTTTATTTTTGCTTTCCCTCCTCTTCCTGTGCTCCGCAGGGCATAGCAAGAAGAGGGAAAGCAGGGATCAAAGCGATCCCACAGCAGCGGGCTGGGGGATCCCTTTGATCTCTTCCCTCCTCTTCTTATGCTGCATGGGCATAGAAAGAGGAGGACAGGGGAACTAAGCCATTCTCCCAGCCCCAGGGGCTGATCCACGGGGCATAAGCAAATAGGGAATGAAGGCACGAATATAAAAGGGTTATATTCATTGCTTCATATTCGTTGGGATCTCTGGACACCAAGAATAAAAAGCAACGAATATCTGACAAATCAGGGATATTTAATGAATATCCTGATTCGTTTTTATATTCGTCCCCATGTCTGTTCTTGACTGTCTGTAGGATGATAGGGACGAAAGTGGATAAAATATGTCAGATGATGCCTTTTAAATTTATTTCTAGAGCTTCTTTTGAAAAGAATTTCAAGATGCACTTTCCCCTCACGACTAGAGAATGTACTTGCAGTACTTATTGCTCTGTTCCACAGGCTCCACCAGATCACTGGAGCACTTTTGGGACATAGGGGTGGAGGAACACATAAAAATCACTGCCCCTTTTTCTATTGTAGCCAAGCCCCACTGAGCACATGTCTGGATCTGACTCATGGTTTTTCTACGAATTCTCAGTAAATGATTTTCCATGTATTTAGATGTGAATAATATCTGTAGATTAGCCTTTGGTGGGTTCAAAACAATTGCACCATGCTTTCTAAATATGTACTTATGTTTTGTATACAGATCGCGTGTTGATTCGAATAAAAGAATTGACAGGAGAGAAAGCTGATGAAGTTGTCTGGGTCCGTGGCAGGATTCACACCAGCAGAGCAAAAGGTAAAATGGTGTCTTTTATGTGTGAAAAAGAATGGTTTTTAAAATTGTGTTTTTGTATGTGTGGAACAGGGTGGTTTGGTGTTTTTTTTAAGTAGATAGTCCTCATGTGTGCACATTCTAGTTCTCTTGCATATTTCATTATTGATCAAGAAGGTTTGAGGTTTCTTCTATCAAAATGTTTTATTCTAATCAGACCTTTGGTCTATCTTGCTCAGTGTATCATCTCTGGCTAACAGTCAGTCTCTAGTGTTCTTTAGGCAGGATTATTTTCTAGACTTAAAAGAGATTCTGGGGATTTCTTGATAGGTCTCCCACTTAAGTATTAACTGACATTGCTTAGCTTCCAAGATCAGGGTGATATGATGATTTGCTCTTCTGGTGCCTGTCCTGTTCTTAATAGTACTACAGACATTTTTAGCAGGAGCACAACTCTGTCAAGCACTAAATTGATGTAGCTGCTTTTATGCAGCTCTACTGATGGGAAGTGCTCCAGCTGCTGGTTAGCATAGTAGACTAGACCTTTCCTTGAAAGAAAGATGTCAGTCAAAGATGTGTAGATCTTCCTCTGGTAGCTGTTCCAAATTTCTACTGAAATGTCAGCCTAGTACTCATCAGTAGATCACTTTGGGTTGATGACCCCAGCCTACTATTTCCAAGGGGAGCTTTGGGCATTTGCTTCTGTCATATCCTAAAAAGATATAGCAGGTGCAGTGCCTCCTTGTAAGTAGTCACACTGGTTGATAGATGGCCTAGTTTTCTACTTCTTTCTCTCCTCCCTTCAGCAGAATCATCCATATTACTAGATAGTAAGGAGAACATTTTCCACAGAATAAATAACTGTAGGTCTTAAATATTGTGCCCTATATATATGTATCGGAAATATTGGAATATGCTATTTCCATAATGGAACTTGTGTAACCAGTTAGTTTCTGTCTAGTGTTAGCCAATGGGTGTTAAGAGGGTTAGCTCCCAGATAGATAGATTAAAAAGTAACAGTTCGTTTTCTTTTAGAAAATCTGTGTAGTCTGTTAGGTGCTGTCTGTTATGAGTCATTCCCTTACTGTGTCTGTTAAGGAAGATAATATGAAACCATTATAAGTCTGTCAAGCTCAAGTCTGTACCAGGCCAAATTCTTCAAGCACTGTTAGTTTATTCTATATACATGTTTTACAATAAACATCCTTAAAATGTTTGCCATGACCTAGTGAATTTTATTTCAATTGCTGGCATACAGAAGGGAGAATGCCATTCATGATCTGTGTGGTTTTTTAATACTGTACTTGAACCACTGTGTACAAATTCTCAGCACATTTCAACACTTTGAAGACATAAAGTACCATTTAGAAGTAACATATAAAACAATTGCAGAACAGTATGTCATCAGGCATGCTAGAATTTTTAAGCTGAAAAAGCAAAATAGGGTTAGTCTGTCTTCTATTTTACATTCTAAAGGAAATGGGAAACCCTGGAACAAATTGGGCTTTCATGTTGCTTCAAATGAAATACTTCAGCTCTTTTTTTCTTTCAAAATTACTCTTATAGTGGCCTGGAAGGAGAGCCTTTATCTGTGCTAGAATTATGTGGAGTATCTTATTTATACAGAACCACCTGGCTATCATTTTTCTTCACTATGGAAGCACAAGTGTTCCTTGAGATCCATTTCCAGTGCCCAAACTTAAATAGATTCACATCTCTTCAGGTGGTACAAACACTGACAGCTGTTCTGTTGCCAGGAACTTTACATCCTTCGCTACATTTTTTAAAAAGACTATATTGAGGCCAGATCAAAGGACTGCTGAAATTAAAAAAAATTTCAGGTGAAGAATGGTAGGGAGGAGGATTGATGGGCTCAGACGGGACAAGGAATTGTTACGTGTTCCAGTGCAGCATTAGAGCAAGTCAGGTCTTTTTTTTCTCTCATCAACAAATTACCATATTTCAGATGATGGTGAAACAGACAGAAAGATTCTTCCTCTGTTTCTTCAGTGGACATGCAGACTGTTCTCTAGGTATCCTGGTCCCAAAACCAGCAGAAGTGGTGGTGAAGGCTTCTGGGAGTTGTAGTCCAAGAACATCTGAAGGCCCAAGGTTGGGGATCGTTCCTTTAGGTATCCTGGTCCCAGACTGTTTAAGTTCTTAAAGGCAATAAGCAGGACTTTGAAGTGCACCTGGACAGGATTAACTGCCGGTGCAGTTGATATAAAAAATTGGACCAGAGTCTTGTTGCTGTATTTTGGATCAGCTAAAGTTACTAGATGATCTCATAAGGCAGATTCCTGGTTTCTGCTGGTTTAGAAGTCCTTGATCCGATATATTACATTTTGAGGTACATACATTCTATTCCACTCTGTTGATTTGCTAAGAAGTGTTAATTCTGGAAGTGGGTTTGAATGCTGTGTGGGAAGCAGGGTGGATTAATGATTTTTTAAAAAATCAAAATTGAAGTTTAAAAATCAGATTTTTAATTTAAACTGTAAAAAAATCAATTTAAAAAATTTAAAATCATGATTTAAATCAAATCCATCCTGCTGAAAAGTAGCATAAGCTGCTTCTAAGAAGACAGAAGTGGGGTGAAAGAGTTTCTGCAGGGGAGCTGATCAAGAATTACAGTGGACAACACTGTTTCCCCAAGATCCCCACTTTTACTGAACAAGACAGTCATTTTTGTTACCTCTGCATATGAGCAGGTTAGGTAAAAATTGCATCAAACTTAAAAGTACATACCCCTCTGTTCCTGTTAGGACTGTCTGTGAGTTGTCCTAAATGTTATTTCTTTTTGAGTAGTAGCACCACCAACAGCCATTTCTAAATACTTTAGTCTGAACAGTTCAGATTTGTTTTCTGCACTTCCTAAGAGGGTAGACCTTTTCACTGACTTCTCTTGAACACTCCTTTAAAAGCTTCCTGTATCAGTAGTTTAGATAATGTAAGACCAACTCATGTAGGCAAAGAAACCTAAACAGCTTCACGTTAACGTAACAGGTTTGTTGAGGCAAGTATTAGAAAATGAAGTAAAAACAAATTTGCAATAAAATAAAGAAAACACATATTTGCTTGCAAAACAATATGATCTCTTGGGTCAGTTTAGTAACTTGTGTTCAGAACAGTATGAGTCATCTTCTCTAGTGATGCTCACCTGGCATTGGGAAGGGATAAAAGACAGAGATCAGGTTGATTCTTCTAAAATTTGTTTCTTGGAGGGGTGGGGTCGACAGGCAAAAGAAGCAGCAAGTGGAAAAGACAATGAGTTTGACAGATGTGCAGCAGTCTTCTTCTAGATACCAGCTCATTTTCTCCCTTTGAAATCCATAACATGAAAAGATCCAGCATGTTTCACCTCATTCTGGTAAGGCTGCACCTGGAGTGTTGCCTACAGCTCTTGTCACCGCACCTCAAATAAAGACATCGTGGAACTGAAAAACGTGCACAAGACAGTTACTGAAATGATGGCGGCTGGGGCACCTCCCTTATAAGGAAAGGCTACAGTGTTTGGGGCTCTTTAGTCTAGAGAAAAGGCGCCTGAGGGGCGACATGATTGAGACCTTTAGAATTATGCATGTGATGGATAAAGTGGATAGAGGGAAGCTCTTTTCCCTCTCATGCAATATCAGAATGAGGAGACATCCACTCAAAATGAGTGTTGGGAGAGTGAGAACAGACAAAAGAAAATATTTCTCTACCCAGCATATTGCTAGTCAGTGGATCTCCTTGCCACAGGATTTGGTGATGGCATCTGGCCTAGGTGCCTTTAAAAAGGGATTGAACAGATTCCTGGAGGAAAAGTCCATCGCAGGTTACAAACCATGATGGGGATAATATAAACTCCAGGCTTAGACGGGAGATACCTCCAAATGCCAGATGCAGGGGAGGGGTATCAGGAGACAGGTATCTAGTTGTCTCGTGTGCTCCCAGAGGCGTCTGGTGGGGCCACTGTGAGATACAGGAAGCTGGACTAGGTGGGCCCTTGACCTGATCCAGCAGGGCCCTTCTTATGTTCTGCTCATCTGAGCTCTCACACCAAGACAGAGCTCATGTGGAGAAAAGTATCTGGAGTCATATGAGTCTAGAGAGAGAGAACTGATAAATGTGAGGAGACTTGAGCTCCTATCACTGGTTAATCCTTTTATCTCTAAACAGTGAAGCCCTTTCCTGCCCTTGGCCTGATCCACCAGGGCTCTTTTTATGCTATTGTTCCTTTGATTGAAATATAAAGTTGTTAGCAAGAAGGAAATGTATATAAGGGTAAGAGAGAGGAGTTTTGAGGAGGGAAACAAAGAGAACTGGAGTTGGGGTAGATGTACCATAGCAAGTATCATAGTATAACAGGCTGAGGTTGGGTTCCTCTACTTCCAGTTTGGTTTCTAGAGGGGAAAAACTAGACATAGTGAAAGTTGCTTTATTCAGTAATGAAACAGCAACCCTCTTATCAAGTTTTTTCCTGTCCCTAATGCATAGTTACAGAAATACTGTCAAAAGATCTGACCATGTTGGGCATCTGTAACCTGTGGTAGCATGTAAAGCAGAAGACCATACTCATCTATTTACATAAGTTATGTGTTACATAAAGAGAAGGAGTTGTTTGGAGAAATTTGATGAGCAGTTGCCATTTGCACTGAATCTAGTTTCCAAACAGCTGCATAACACTTGCAGAGTGAAGTACTTCTTTGATGATTGATCCAACCTAAATGAATTTTCTGTTGTTCAGTAAAAGAAAAAACAGGAATAAACCAGAAATGATTGAAAGTTAAAATATAATCTCTTTAAAGTTTCCAATCAGCATAATATTTATGTATAGTATGCATAATATTAAAAAAATGAATTAATTCAGATGCTATTTGATCATCTCCCTATTGCTGCTTAACATCTGTATGAGGCCACGGGGGAGGTCATCCAGAGATTTGGAGTGTGTTGTCATCAGTATGCTGATGACACGTAACTTTATGTCTTCTTTTCCTCTTCAGCATGTCAAGGGGAATTTTTACTTTTTTACTGTCATATTACGCATCACGCTTTAACTTTATTCAGCCTCTGGGCTCAGAACGCTTCTGAGAAGTGCCTACATGCGCCACCTCCAATGAGGTATGTTCCAACTGGTTTGTTAAGCATCAGCTGACATCAGTTACATAAGGCTTGTGATTGGAGGAGGCTAAGTCTCCTGACTGTAGGAAGCTAAGCCTCTTGATTGGAGGCAGCCTGTTTGCAGAGGCAAGGTATGGGCCTTTTTGCAATCACACAGTTCTCTCCTCGGCTTACTTCCATATATAAGACGACCCTCAATTTTAGTCTAACGATTTTAGGAAAAAGTAGTGTCATATACACAGAAAAATATGCATCTTTGCAGGGATCTACAGTTTCTAGAATTCCTATACTGGCTGAGGGTTTCTAGTAGTCCAAAACAATAATTGTCTTTGGTTGTTGTAGGTTTTTCGGGCTGTTTGGCTGTGTTCTGGAGGCTGTTCTTCCTAACGTTTCTTCAGTTTCCGTGGCCAGCATCTTCAGAGGACAGGAGCTAGAACTCTGTCTGTATTCTGGCTCCTGTCCTCTGAAGATGCCGGCCACGGAAACTGAAGAAATGTTAGGAAGAACAACCTCCAGAACACAGCCAAACAGCCCGAAAAACCTACAACAACCATTGGATCCCGGCTGTGAAAGCCTTCGAGAATACAATAATTGTCTTTGTTTGTTTGTTTGTTTGTTTATTCATTTTGTATCTCCCTCCCATTAGTGTCACAGCACTACTTTGGGTGAGTTACATACAACTCGTAAAGTAGAAAACAAAAAATAAAAATAGAAATACTAAAACCAATATCTGAAACCCTGCTGTTGGCCATTGTGACTAAGTGAATCTCCAAGTCCAGAAGTAGCAGCATAGCTCTGAAAGCCATTCCCTTGGTAACCCACAGCAGCAGGAAACGGCTGTGGCCTTCATGCCCTTCTGAGAAGCATTTGGGTTGAAAACAAAGATGATGGACTGGAGATTGACAAAAATAAACCCCGATATGTGTTTCTAAATGTTTCTATAGTATTATATCTGATTTGCATCTGTGTATGTTGATGCTATTTGTATGTTGTATAAAATTATCAGTAGGTGAAGTCTATTTAAGAAGAATTGGCTTGTCTGCTCTCTGTTACCCGCAATAATCCAAACCGCTCAATGGCAGGGATTGAATCAGTAAAACAGAGTGGTTTTGAGCCAGGCTTCCTTGAGGTTATGGAGAGATACAGCTTGATGATTTTCAGCAGAGGCCCACTCATCAACGTATGTGCCTTTTATGTTATGAGTCAACTCTTTGAAAGATGTTGAGTTGAACATAAGAAGTACATCTTACCTGTTTAAAGGAACTATTTAAATAGTTCCCAAAAACACTAGAAGTATGAGATCCTTTTAGCAGGTGCTTTTTTATAAGTAGAGAAGTGACAGAGAAGGGCCTTCAAGTGATTTACCTGCACCATCAAGCTGCACCAGCCTTCCTCTTTCCTTTGGCTGATTTGTAGAGAAAGAAAACTGCATCTATCCTAGGATGTATAGTTCTCTGGGATATGTTTTCTGTAGCCTAATGGGCAATCAGTAACCTCCTTTTTTAAAAAAACAAACATTCTTGCTGGGAGTATAAGGGCCCCAGGTTGCTGCTAAGTTTCTTAATTGTAGCAGAATTGCTCTCATGGCCTGTACAGGACACAAAAAGACTTCTGAGTCACTTTTTCAAAAATTGGAGGTCCGGGTAAAATACAGGTTGCCTAATATCCCTCCCCTTGGAGGCCATATGTTCCTTGCTTCTGCTGTGGTACTTTAAAAAGTTAAGGCTGTGTATTCTTACCTGGGAGTAACTCCTCTTAAAGGCTGTATTTTAAATCAACTGTGGGTTTGCACCAGAATCTTCATGTGGTCCCAGAAGCATTTGGACAAACTTACATAGAACTACAGTAGCCATGTGGCTCTTTAGAAAACAGAATCTTAATCAGCCGACATTTAATGGAATGAGTAGGCAACAATTTATATAAACTACCTTGGTTTGTGCTTTTTCTCAGGGTGCTGTATGTGCCAGTTTCCTAAAATTGCTTTTTTAATGTGACAATTGTCCTTTAAAAATAACTTAGAACCCCAAACAAAAGTTTTTTTTGTGGTTAAAAGCTGCAGTGAAGGATACATATGTCTGACTGCATACGTTGTTTTGTTACTATTTTCAGTCAGGCTTCATTTTAAAGTAGTAGAACATATTTTCGTATTCATTGACAAAGATCCCAAGTAACTCTGCCCTGAGTGCACCTGCCTTGTTTCTTCCTCTTTTCAGGAAAACAGTGTTTCTTAGTCCTGCGTCAGCAGCAGTTTAATGTCCAGGCTCTGGTGGCTGTGGGAGACCATGCAAGTAAGCAGATGGTAAAGTTTGCTGCCAAGTAAGTAAGCAATTATATCCTGTTGTCACAGTAAACAATGGTGGGAACCCAGGCTTCTGGGGTTGGGACCATTTTCACACATTAACCTCAATGCTGCATTTGTTTTTAAAATGTAGTTATTTAAATTGTCAGTTCACTATAGCGCTGAATGCATTACACTTACAAAGGACAAAATGGAGCACAGCCTTGAAATGTTTTCTGAACCACTGAGGGGGTATTCTGTCTCCACAGACAGTTCCCATTTACTTTCAAGTTGGCTAACAAAAAGGTTGGCAGGCTGAGCTTGGAGACATTATTCTGTTGGAAATTTCTGTGTGCTTGTGAACACAGCTCAGGCCTTTCTCGTGCTTAAATATTAGATCTTCTCTGCATAATGTATTCCGTCTCATCTAAATGCCAAGTGAAAACTTAAAGTATTTAGAAATTCAGCATTGTAATTTCCCCCCTCAAGATAGCATGGGTTAAGAACCTAATTTGTACTCTTTTAATCCTCATTACTGGCATTAAAACTTGTTCTCTGCCTTCCAAACTCTTTTCTGTTCATAATCAATTTGTTTTAGCGAATAGCATTATAGTCAAGGGTACCCCATTCTCCACAGGCGCCTCTAAAATTTGGATTTGGTATGTTGACGAGTCAGTGGGTTGGCAAAGCAATCTAGTAATGAGGGCAAAAGGCAAGGTTTCCTGGAAACAAGCTAAGCAATAGAGAATCATGTAGACTGTGTCTTCAGAAAGGGTTTTCACTTCTGCTCTCAGAATTATTCATGTTTGACTCTATTCTCTTGTTTTTAAAGTTAAGCCAGTGATTGCTCTGTATATTTTGGTTCCGAATCAAATTACGGGTCTGGTTTTCTACATTCTTCACATGCTTATGTAGCAAAGTGGGGTTTAAAGGCATAAAATATTGGAGCTCATTCAGATTTAATTGATTGAAATTTCAAACAAAAAGCAAGTCTGCTGCTGTGGCAAAATATTTGGCAGTGCAGGGCATTTGAGATATGTCTTCTATTTCTTGTGTAGTTGGGGAAGGAATATATACCGTAGCTTAACTAGCTGCCAAAAATACGGTTCGGGTCATCTGAAGAAGGAGATATAGCACATGCTCTTAAACTTTTCTTTTGAGAAGTTCCAAGCAGAAGCAGTTCTTGCAAATTGAGGTTTAAAGCCATAGCAAACAGCACACATTGTGATGATGATTTGGGGTGGTACAGTTCATATAAATAATGGTATTTACAGGGTTTAGAGCCAATGTGAAGTGGGTTGTTTGTTCTTTTAATGGCTTTGAGGTTCAGTTTTGTTTTAGTTTTTTGAGAATGTAATTGCGGAATCCTCCCCCCCAAATCACTTGATCTCTCTAGTTGGTGCCCTCACAACTTTGGCTTCAGCTGTGTGGAGTCCTTGACTGACCTTTCTAATAGCTTTAGCTCCTCTTTTCAACTTTTTATGATCATTTTCTGTGCACCAGGAACTTCCTTTTGTGTCTTCTTTTTGTGTCTTTGTATTGAGGTTTTTCAAACAGCCATGCATTTTGCTTCTAATCATCAGTTTGTCATCTCTGTCTCTCAGGGAGACTTCCTGGGCAAGTGGAAGTTTCTTTAGGACATCTAAATTTAGAGTGTACCTCATTTAATACTATATGCATTTAATTTTTGAGCAAGAAGTTTTTTTTCCTATAATGATTTTTAGTCAGCCAAGCCAAGATGACACTTTATTTTCCAGATTACATCAGGAGGCTTTCATGGCCGGGATCTAATGGTTGTTGTGGGCTTTTCGGGCTCTTTGGCCATGTTCTGAACACGGCCAAAGAGCCTGAAAAACCCACAACAACCACTCCTTTCTTTATTGAAGGCACCCATTGCAGTCTTTCTGCTTTCTTTCTTCTCTAGTCCTTTGCTGCCAGGTGTCTGCCTAAGATAGCCACTCTGCGGTCCCATCAAACATGTTGTCTTGATCTTGTTCTCATCTGATTTCTACTGGTTGTATGCCTCCACTCCATGATATAAAATTCTTTTTAACATTTTTGCTGTATATCTGAAGATCTCAAGATGAGATAGAAATGTTAAAATGTTTTAAAACCTTTATCTATCTATCTATCTATCTATCTATCTATCTATCTATCTATCTATCTATCTATCTATCTATCTATCTATTGAATTTATATCCCGCCCATCTAGTCAATAGACTACTGTGGGCGGCGTACAACATTTAAAACAACTTTAAATCATTTAAAACAACTTAAAAATATAGCAACAAAAAATCTGTAATCTTCCCCAAACCTTCCTCTCTTCTTTCCTTCCCCATGTTATTTATATGCCAATATTATAATAGCCTTTTAGTCAGTTTAGAAGTGAAGCCAGTGGTCGCATCTAGAGAAAGCAGGGTCAAAACCAGATCTGGAAGTGCAGAAGAACCTCTCTCCAGTTATGGCTGTGCCTTGATGAACAGGGTTCTTGTTTTGATTTAGATGCATTTTTTGACCTTTCTCTTTCTTCCCTTCCATCAAATAGCCAACTAGCGTGCACTGGGCAATGAGGACAGCAAAAACAAATGTGAGAGTACCCACTCCCTTCATTCTTAAAGGCAACTGTTTCTTCCTTGTCCTACATTTTTTGACATGACCATAAACCCCATAAGAACTATTGACAGTCTGAGAACTCTGGCACCGGTCTCCCTGCCCAAGGAGGAAGATAATGAGAAAACATTGCTCACCTCAGTCATTGCCTGCATGCAGTCCTTTTGATGGTCATGGGAACTCATTGCCAATGAGAACTAGGTGCATGAGATGATACGTTTCAGTTACAGTTCTGGTCAGACCCAAAGAAGTCATCCTTCTTGATTCCTGTCATGAGGACCTAGTCAAACATGTCAAAATTTGGTGTACCATCCGCCATAGATACGGGGTAGGGTGGTTTTGAGATGTGAACTAACCCTCTTGTCAGAGCATCTCTCCCCAATGGCATCTGCCTAACTCACCAGATCCTCCCAGGCGATGCTCCTCCAGATTGCCACTCCAAAGGAGGCGTGGAAGTCTTCTATACAGACAGTTGAGCAACTGGGTGCACAATTGTTTGGACATTCAGTTATCCATCCTAGATAGGTTGTACAACCAATTACTGTATGCAGTCTGTTCTGCTAACCTGTTTTGGATTTTACTTTTACACTAACTGAAACTCACTTTTCATCCATTTTTTTTCCTGCTGTGGTTGAAAAGATTCTGCTAGGAGTGCAAAACAACAGTGTTGTTGTTTTTAAGTTGATGCTAATTACTTGTCTAATATGTCACATAGTTAACTCATACACTTTGGTAGGTGAGCTCTCATAAAAATAAGTTTGCTTCTGAAAACATCTCTTTAACCTATTCTCAGTCCTCCACATGTAAGAAAGCAGAGTCAGCTGTGATCAAAATAGATTGTTTCTAAATCAGGCAGACCTCTTGTGATGCTGCTCTTATAATGTTGAAAATCTACGTTAACGAAAGGAAGATAGCTTTCTGAGCTTTGTGCAATTTGGTCAGCTTTGATTAAAAACTGATTACAAGTGACTCATTGTGAAGAGGGGGCTATAGGTTTCTTGCAAAAAGTGATACTGGAAAAGGTTTACACAGATGCAACTAGAATGCAATCATGCGGTTAAAACAGAAAGTCTTGACTAATACAGTGGTGCCTCGCTTGACAAGGATAATCCATTCCGTTCAAATCGCTGTTAAGCGAAATCCTTGTCAAGCAAAATGAAAAAGCCCATTGAAACGCATTGACAACCGCTCAATACGTTCCAATGGGTGAAATACAGCGTCCAGCGAAGATCCTTCATGGGGCGTCCAAAGTACAGCAGGGAGCCATTTTAAACAGCAGGCGGCCATTTTGAAACCCGACAATCAGCTGTTTTCTGATCGTCGTAAAGCGAAAAATCGGTTCCCGAAGCAGGGAACCGATCATCGTGAAGCAATTTTTCCCATTTCAAACATCATTTTGCAATCGCAAAAGCGATCGCAAAAACTTCATCGTTAACCGATTTTCTCGTCTAACAATGTAATCGTCAAGCGGGGCAGCACTGTACTTGGATAGCTGAACATGAGCATAACATTTAGAAGTCAAAAACTAAATGCTACTGGTTTGAAAGATGCTAACTTTTTATAGTGGAAATAGGAGTTATCTCATTTAGGTTAAGGGCTATATTTGCACATCATAGAAGCCTGGAATCCTAGCCTAAATTATGAAAGTCATTTTGTCCTGAGTTATTCTTTGTATCATTTGGATAAGCAAATAAATCATAGATGCATAGCTTTGGGTGAGATTTGAACCCAGAATTTTGGTTATGTTTTTATATGTACAGTTAGGCATCCTTCAGTCTCGAAAGACTATGGTGACGTGCTCTGTATGGAGGACTTGGAACAGCATCTAGTGTGGCTGAAGAGGCCAATTCGAGAGTGACAATCTCTTCCACACTGAAGACACATCCAATCTGTCCCTTGTCTAGCTCGCTGGTTTTGCTGCTTTTGTGACTTCCTCTTTGTCTCGGCCTGCTGGACAAGGGTCTCTTCAAATTGGGAGAGGCCGTGATGCACTGCCTGCCTCCAGGCTGAATGGTCAGATGTCAGGGTTTCCCATCTGTTGAGATCTATTCCTAAGACCTTCAGATCCCGCTTGCAGATATCCTTGTATTGCAGCTGTGGTCTCCCTCTGGGGCGATTTCCCTGTCTGGGGCGATTTCCCTGACTAATTCTCCAATACAGGAGATCCTTTGGAATCCGACCATCAGCCATTCTCACGACGTGCCCAAGCCAACGTAGACGTTGCTGTTTCAGTAATGTATACATGCTGATTATTCCAGCTCATTCTAGGACTACTCTGTTTTGAACTTTGTCCTGCCAGGTGATGCCAAAAATGCGTCGGAGGCAACGCATATGGAAGGTGTTCAGCTTCCTCTCCTGCCGTGCACAAAGGGTCCAGGACTCACTGCAGTACAGGAGTGTGCTCAGGACACAGGCTGTATAGATCTGG